AATCAAACTGCACCACACGCCCAGGGGCAGAAGGAAAACAGGCCGGGGCCCCAGAGAAGGAGAGCAAAAGGGGTGAAAAGCAGAGCTCTGGAAGCACGTTTTTGCATCTTTCACGGTCTAGCGGCAGGAATGCTGCTGCGGCCGGGCAGGAAGCGGCAGTGGAAGTCATTCCAATGGCATTTCCTGGAGAGCACTGCAGAAAAGACTCCCGGTTCCCAGCCAGCTGGAGGAGCTGCCAGTGCTGCAGAGCCCAGAGCTCCAGCTCTTGTCACTTGGAGTGCTCTGCCATCCTGCCTCAGCAGCACCTGGTACTGGTGAGGGATAGCAGGGACTCGGCTGGGGACAGCGCTTCTTCACCCCAAGCAGGTGACACTGGGATCATCATCTCAGCTGCAAGGGGTCCAGAGCATAGAACAATCACTGAAGGCAAAGCAGAGAGTATCCTTGCTTATTGCCTGGTCACATCCCACAGCAAACTCTGCCAACACATAAAGCTGAGCTGAGAGCTCAAACAAGATCAACAGTGCCTGGGTGTCCCAAAACCTCGTGTACTACCAGAGTCATTCATTCATCAAAACAGCAGAGCTTTGGAAAGCAGTGCTCTCCCAGAGGTGGCTGCATTCCCCACAGGGCACAGTGTGCAGCTGGGCCACTCTGTACATGCATTGCACACCTCATGCTGCTCCCCTGCATATCTCAGGGTACAGCAGAAGCAGAAAGGGGCAGCCAGCATCACTGGGTGCAGGGGGAAAACATGTGCAGTTTATCCAGACAAGCAGCACAAGGCCAAAAAGCATTTCTGAAGAGCTGAATGGGAGTCTAGCTCTTAACCTGAGGTCATTGAGAAGGTTGGAGCAAGAGCACAGGATGAAATCCCAGCTGCAATCTGTCATATGACGCACTCTGAGTCATTTCCTACCATTCAAGAAAAAAAACCTGAGAAAATAGAAAATGAGTTTGCTACACTGACATCTTCTAAGGGTTTTCCCCAAAGAGAACCACAAGCTTCCAGTCCATTGCAGAGCAGTACAACGTGTCTGCCTCAGCACATGAAGCCCTGATGGCCACAGAGCACTGATAGCACGGGACTCACAGGGAATTGTCCACTCCAGACCAGCCTGGACTGTCAGGATTCAGAAGTTACAGACTGATAACAGAGACCCTGCACACTTTCAGCCCTGGCCTCCACCACATATCCTGTTCTTGCCTCTGTGTGCACAGAGCTACCTCCATGCCTTCCACAGCACTGGATGCAGGCCCTAGTCTGCACATTTAACTTCAAAGGAAACACAGTCACCCAACACTGTCACTGCTCAGCTCCCTCCCTCTTAACACATCAGGCATGGCCAATGCACCTATGCATGTCAGGCACTTTTTCATTCACCTTGCGTTTCCTCCTCTCATGTCTGACCTCTCACCAGACTTCTCCACACCCCATTGATGCCGCAGATCACCACTGGCCTCACTGTTTAAAGTTCACAGCCAGGGGGATTCAGTCCTGCTCAAAGCATCTACTTCCAGAACACACGCTGGTTGGTTTTGATGAGTCACAGAGGCAGCAGCTCTCTTCAGCCCAGGGCTGGCTATCAAAATCCCCTGAAGTTCTGCTTGTGTGTTTGTTTTCCTAGTAGCAGATTGTGGAGTGATGGAGAAGCCAAGGCAGGGCCAGTAAACATGACAAAATATACCCACGTTGATATTACACAGCAAGATTTATCATTACTTCCCCTTCAAAAAATGGTTTATCTGGAAAGCTGTTATAGTCCAGCACTCGGCAGCCTGAGCACTCCTCTCTGAAGGCAAACCCTCACTCCCTCCACCATCCTCTGCTCTCCTTTGTTCAGCTGATCCCCCACCTTGGGACTCACCCACTGCACCTCCTGGGAAGGCTGGGAGCAGTCCTGCACCAAACAGGGCAGCAGGAGAGGGGCTGCTCTGCCCCAGGCAGTTTGCTCCCTGTAGCAGGAGTCACGTTAGGGCCTAGGGAGCATCCCATGGATGCACCATATCGCGGGCACTCAGCAGCCTACACAGCATCTGATGAAGAAAGGCTGAGGGAGCTGGGGGTGCTCAGCCTGGAGAAGGCTCCGGGGAGATCTCAATGTGGCTTTTCAGTACTTCAGGGGAGCTTATAAGCCTGCTTTTTGGAGGCTGCTGGGTTGGATTCCCTTGCTACGGCCCCCATGCAGCACCCAGCTCTGTTTCACACACAGCAGCAAGGTCGGGAACCCCAGTCAAGGTTGGGAGGAGAGAGAGCAAGGCTGCTTCTCTGGGAGAGGAGCAGGCTAACAGAGATCTTCAAAGGCAGAGTGGGTGGGTGGGTCAGATAGGGCAGTCCTGGCCCTTCTGCAATCTATTTGAACAAATATTTGCTACAAACAATGAATTTAGAGACAGACACAGAAAAAAATTGAAGAGTCTTAACTGTGATAGTTGATTGGGGGTGGGGAAGAGAGGGAGGAGGTATTTCATTCCCTACAAGCAGAGACCAGTGATTTTCCACCAGTGATTTAATCTAAATCCCCCAGAGAGTTCATTTACAAAAAATCAGATTGCATTATCGCCTAGGTCTCCAGGATACAACCCAATCCGTCACTAACAGCAACAGCCACACTAGCTTGGAAACCTCAATTTGATCACTCAATTCCAAGACTAATCTGTGGCTTTAAAAGCCAAAGGCAGAGGGAGGGGGGGGGGGGAAGGAACTCAGCATTTGGCCAGCGTTATCTGCGCGATGAGAGAGCTAATGGGCTAGACAAAGCCAGCCAAAATAGCCAGCAGATCCCAGGTTATTAATCGAAACCAAGCTTCAGAGCAGCCCCACCCAGGCAGTGCCCCAGGGCGGCCACATTCCAGGGATTCCTGCACGCTGGGTGCACCGCTCCCTCCCTGGGTGCACCTACTCCCCATGGTCCTGGTGCTGCTGAAGGGCCCCTGTGTGTCCCAGCTGCCAGGAGGCTGTAGAGCTGGCCTTGAGGATCCTGCCCTGCAGCCGGCTGCTGGGAGCTGGGGATGAATAAGGCTAAAAGGCCACAGCACGCATGCAAAGGAGGCAGTACCCCACTGTTTAGATACTAACGATTGATAGCACGAACTCTTTCCAGTGGGCACCAGTAAAGGTTACATCAGCAGGGAATCACTAAGATGCAGAAGTAGAAGCAAAGAGAAAACTCAAACATCTGCAGGCTATATACCTCCTGCTGGCAATCCCATGCCGTCCCGCACAGACAGACCAAGCATTTCAAGAATGCTTCCTGAAGAAATGCTTATTCATGTTAATACCTAACCACTGAAAGCACTCAGTGTGCTGCTCAGGGCGGCTGGGAATACAGCTCCAAGCCAAGCAAGGAGCAGCTGAAGACACAGCAGCTCCCTGGCACAGAGCTGCTCCGTACCGTGCTGTGAGGGGCTGCTCCCAGCTGCCCACCCACAGAGAGCTGCTGCAGGATTCACTCCACTGCGATGGCAGCGGCAGACATCGTCCCATCTCCAGAATGAAGAAGTAGCTGTTACCCCACCAGATCACAGGGCCGGGCTGGAACACTGCTGAGCACATAGAGGAGGAAGCTCCACTCCCTGCTGTTAAATGACACGAGGAACATGCCCAAGAGCAAGGGCTCCCATTTGAAGAACAAGCTTGGATGACATTACATTTCCACAGGCTCTTGGAAAATGGGTCTCTTATGTAACAGCCAGGGAGAAGGAGGAGAAAAAGGGATGCAGGAGGACAAATCAGAACGTTAACTCTTTGTTTCCACCATCAGTGGACTGACCCTCTTGCAGCAGAGCATTAAGAACGCAGAGGGAAGGGCCACGTACCAATTTACTGCCCTCCCTGCAAGGTCTAGACCGAGCACAGGCACAATCACTGCAGGCAGCTTGATCTGGCCAGCACCGCTGCTGGCCTTGAGCTAGGATGCAGGGAGTCCCTATGGGAGAGCAGTTCTTACCCAGCCGCCATTCTCCTGGATCCAGGGATCTAGATGGTCGGTCAAGTACGTGGTCATCCAAGACACAATGCGTCCCACCAGTACCCGCATCTCCTTGTCCACGCTCTCCACGCACAAAGCCCCTCCGAAGGAGAAGAAAGCCACGATGCGCCCCCAGTTCACACCATCATGGAAGAGTTCATTCACTACCTGCTCAAAGCTCTGGTACGCCGTGCCAGGGGTGATGTGGAGCTGGGAGGTGAGGTCGCTGAAAGCCCTCCGGTACCTCAGCTCAAACTCATCCCCTGCATCTCTCAGCGCCTGCCTCACGTCAGATGCTCGAACAATTTCATGAACTTCCAGGCTGCTCCTGTGCACGGTGGCTCCATTCACTACGTGGCCGGCAGGCGGGTGCCAGGATGGGCTTCCATTGTGGACGCTGTCCATCTCTGCCTCTGCTGCAGTGTCAGTCCTGTTCTCATCCTCTTCCTCCAGCTCGCTCCAGCAGTGCCCCTTCTGCGAGAGCTTGTAGGAAACAAAGTCAATCACTAACTCCCGGTTACTGCTGGACATTTTCACACCTGAGACGCCCTCAATGAGTCCATGGTCCAGTGCACGAGCAGATGAGCACACTCAGCAGCTCCTGGCTCCGCGCTCCCTCGCGACCGGTGAACACATCCGACCTTTGCACAGACAGACAGAGAGGAAAAGAGAGGCAAGGAAACGGTTAATACGACAGCTTGCTGCGCCGTGCACATCAATAGCTTAACGTTACACTGAGCTCATCATCCAGCTTCGCTGGGAACCGACGCCGCACACAGAACAGTGACCCACTCCCCCCCCCCCCATGGGGTCAATCCCAGCCCTCCCGCAGCCCCGGGGCTCACCGGGCGCAGGCAGAGCCGGGGCTCACCGGGCGGAGGCTGAGAGCTGCGGGTGCTGCGGGCGGCCCGGCCCCGCTCCGCTCCGTCAGTCCCGGAGAGCCGCGGAGGCGGAGGCAGCACCGCCCCCACCCGGCCCCTCCCGTTAAAGGGCCCGGCCGCGCCCCCCGCCGGCATTGCCCAACGGGACCGCCGGTGTCCGAGCCGGAGCTGCAGCGCACCGCTTCCCGTTCCCATCCCCGGGGGCTCGCCCCGGCCCCATGCCCCTCGAAACGGCCCCCAGCGAGGGGAAATGGGAGGGAGAAAGGCTCCAAGTGTCCTTTAAAAGCAGCAGGTAAGAGGTGCGGGGGTCTCCTTTGGAGGTTTGTCCACGTGGCTGCAGTGGGAGAAAGGATGCACGGGGCTCAGCGCTGAGGTACCAGGGTAGAAAGTACCGTGAGAAGCATACATAGGAATAAGGTAGGAACAGAAACAACCCCAGGAAAAGTCTTCTAAAGACTTCCAGCAACTACGCACAGGTGAAACCACCGCTGCTGTGAAAATAAAGGGTGTTTGTATCGTTATTTAAACCGCCTGAGGTCTCTACGCTCAGTTGCTCTGTTTCCTCTGCACAGACTCTGCTGCCCCTCCTCCCCACAAGGCATCTCTGTCCCTACATGCACCCCAACACCCTCCATGCAATGCATTCCTTGCCAGCCCGCATCCAACCCTCAGCCCACCCTGGGGTCTGTGAGGAAAGCTTGGAGGGGCTGCTCCTCCCTAAGACCCATAGCAGTGGGCAGGCAGGGCTGCAGAAAGCACAGTCACTGTTCTGTTCCCGCCCACCCGTGAAAAACTGCGGAGAGAAAGCTCTGGGCTGGGAAATCTCAGCTCGCTCTGGCTTCTGGCGGAGAGAGTTGGATTAAAGTAATTTGACGCTGAGAGAAGGCAACTCCCCGGCCCTCCCACGGTGCTCCCACCCCACTCCACCCCTCCTGCCCTGCCTGCCTGCTGCTCAATGCCAAGGCTCCGTGCTCCCACGGTACCCCCAGCCCTGCCAGCCCCAGCAGTTTGGGAGGTCCCACGGTTGCAGAGAGCTTCTAGCAGAACCGAGATTTAAGCTTTCTTCTCCAAAAGGCAGATAATGAAGCATATGATTTATGAAGAAAGCAAGGGCCGCTCCTCTGCTCGCAGTGACGGTGTGTTAAGTGCTCAATAATTTATGTGCTGTACAATGGTGTTCCTCTGTAACCTTCTTTTCGTGCCAAAGCCTGTCAGTGAGTCAGAGCAGTGCAGGACTGGGTCACAGGTAAGGGCAAGGGCTGCAGGGCAGTGCACAAAGCACCGCTGTGCTGGTTTGTCGGCTCTGAGCCGTGACATCCCCAGGGACAGCAGTGCTACAGGCCCGCAGCTCGGCCCCGACAGACGGGAACAAAAGGTGCCGCAGCCCAGGCGGGGCCGGGCTAAGAGCCGCGAGGTTCGTCGGAATGGAGACCCTGGGGTACCGCAGCCCCACGGTCATAGGGCTCCCACCCGCCCTAAGGGGAGGCCTCGGCGCACAGCCTGTCCACAGCCGGGCTTTCTCAGGGAAGCGGCTCCGGTACCCACGAGGAAAGGCGTCGACCCCAGGAGGGCTGCGGGAAGGGCTGCCCGACCCCCAGCGCCGCCTCGGCCCCTCGCGGCCGCCCTACAGACGCACAGAGGGGCGGGGCCGCCCGCACGGGGCCCGCGCACGAGGGCCGCCACAGGGCGCGCGCCCACGCGGCCCGCCCCTCGCCGTCAGCCAATCACTCGCTGCGAGTGCTCTGCGAGGGCGGGGCCGGCGAGCGGCCTCTCTCATTGGCGGAACCGCGCGTCGCTCACGGCCTGCCCCGCTCCGCCCCTCACCTCAGCGGTCGGTGGAGGGTCCGGGCCCTTACAGACCCCGCTCCGCGGGCCCAACCGGCAACGACACACGGGGTGGCCGGGAGCCCCGCCGGGTCTCGGCCCGCTCAGCAGTCCCTGGTCTCCTGCCGCATCACCACCGAGCGGCCACCGCGCTCCTGGGCCGAGCCGGGGGGGGCGGGAGAACGGGAGGGGGCAGCGCGCATGCGTGCAACGCCGCGAGGCTGAGTGAGGAGCGGTGCGCATGCGCGAAAACCTCGGGGCGAGAGAGCGTTGGGCAACCGTGCCAGTGCGCAAGCGCAACGGCGCCGAGGACGGTTGGACTCGGGCGCCCCCTGGTGGCAGCCGCTTCTCTTCTGCTCGCAGTTCTCGCCTTTCACGCATCTCTTGTCCTGTGCCCCGCACTGCGGTTCGGTGCTGTGCTTGCGGAGGTGAGGTGAACCCGGGGCAAGGCCTGAAGCCGATGTGGCACAGGGCTGACGTGGCTGCCTGAACCCACGGCCATGGAGAGTTGTGTGGGGTGTGAGGGGTTGGTGCGGGGCCGTGACTTCTTCGGACGTGGGGAGTTGAATGTGGGATCCTTCCTGGATCCTGCAATCAGGTGACCTGTCATCTGTTGAAAGATACAGCATAGCAAGGAGAGCAGGAAGGCGACAGCCCTGCTGTTGCACTGTGTACCGTTTCTACCCCTGCAGAGCCTCTGCAGTAGGAGTGAGACAGACATCTTTGCTCATGGGAGCTATGAGCCAGGCATATCAGTGACCCGTAACACAGCAATGGCACAGGAACTGAGTGCTCATGGCTCTGTTCTGCAATGCCCATGAGACCGTGGTTCTGTTGGCAGCTGTATGGAGAACAAAACACCCCCGCTGTCATCTTGCCGAGCCAGTCGCTGGTGACTCACGACCAAAAGATCTTTAAGCTGCTACAGAAATAGCTAGGGATGTTATCTCCTGCCCGCAGCGTCTTGGTGGAACGAGCCAAGGAGCAAGGCGGCTGCTGCTGCTGATGTCAAGCGGGCCTGGAGGCTCTGGAGCGTTGTTCCTTTAATTCTAAGAGCCTGAAAGAAAGCACCGCCGTGCTGCCGCGGATGCTGACCGTGCCCAGACCCGACAGAGGGCGGATGCGGGAGCCGGACGCGGACCAGCCGGACGGCTCTGTACTGTCCGGGAGACTCGCCTCCAAGCAGCTGATAGGTTGCCTCAGAGCTCCGCCTCCCCTGATTGGCCAGACCCCTCCCTCCCTGTGCATTATGGGAGTTGCTGTTTGTTCTTGAGGTTGGGGTCGGGGCTCGGTGCTTTGGATCCTACATTTCCCATCAGCCTCTGCTGGCAGCCCCGGGAGGGGGAGGAGGGAAGGTGGGGAGGGGCGGGCTTGCTCATCCGGGTCCTTTAGATTCTGGGCAGCCCGCCCAATCAACACGCAGCTAGGGCGTGCTCTAGGCGCTGATTGGTCCATTCGGACAACACGAGCCCAGTTTGAAATCCGCTAACGGCGGCGGGCAGAGGCCCCGCGCTCGGCGGCTGCGGCGCTGAGGTGAGTGGGAGCGGAGGGGAACCGGGGGTGAAGCGGCCTCTCCTCGCGTCCTGAGTGCGTCTCGGTAACGGCGTCCTGGGTCGCTGTTCTCCTCTGGACCCCTTTGGCCACATTTTGGGAGTAGGCCGCGGCCCGGCGCTGTGAACGGCTCTGGGAGGAGAAACGTGTGCCTGAAATGGGGGGAAAGGGCTTTGCTGCTTTGTAACGGGATCTCAGTCCTCAGAACAGTAAGGAGCAGAAAAGGGGGGTGTGCCTCAGTATCGGAGTGCTATCGTGTCGGCTCTTTTTATTTGGACATCAGTTTATCCAATACCTAGCAGAGATTACCCGCCTAAAAATAACGCTCGGTTCCTTCGGTGGCTGTTCTTAGAACGTGCCATCTCCGTGCCTCCCAGAGCTCCTGGGGTCTCATTTACGGAGTGTGAGGTGGCCGGACTCTATTTTGGGCTGTTGGAGAGGGAACAGCCCAGGCGAGCTGTAGGGCAGAGGCTGCTGGATCCTCGCTCCCCTCGGGCTGCTGTGTGCGGCTCCTCCTGCCTGCAGCCCGGCTCTCTGCCTCAATCCAAGCATTACACGATGGGATAATAACACTGCTCTTTGGGAGGGCAATGAATTCAACGTCCGTTCTGTGCTACAGAAAAGCGTGTTTTTCCTCCCTTCCCTCCCCCCCCCAGCTTTGAATGATGAAACTAAAGAAGAAAGAGAAGCTGCAAATCCAGAATTTGAGAATTCTCACCCCTACTCAGGAGAAAGCGAGGGTGTTGCTGGCTGCTGTCATCCCCCTGAGGAACTTTGCATGGCAGCTGTGTGGGGGGATAGCCTCCCCCAAGCCTTTGGTGGCAGGATTGTATCTCTGGAGAAGCAGTCTCCACGCCTTTATAACAGCTCAGTTTATATATTATCCAGTGAAAAGCACCTGGGAACTTTGGGTTATCATGGGGAGCTTTGTGCTCTAGGAGAATGAAAAAGCTGCCAGGTTGAATTAAAGGAGTTGCCCTGTTTGTGCAGCGTTCTGTGATTAAATGGCAGTCAGCATTGAGTTCGACAGCAAAAGGCACTGGAATCGCTGCAGCAAATGGCTGTGTGTTGTCCTCAGCCCTAAGGAGGCTGCTTCTGCTTACTCCTGTTTGAATAAGTTGGATCTGTTTGGTTCCCAGTGGAATTCAGGATGTCCTTTTCACACGTCTGGTATGTTGGGATTCTTTTTGCCTTTCCAAACTGTAGGGGAACTGTTGGATCATGGCCCGAAGCTCTGATTGATCACCTGAGGTGAGCACCGAGTCAGCTGTGGGGGCACAGCTGAAAGCAGTTCACCTGTATGATTGGAAGGGGTGGAGCCTGGCTCCAGCTTTCCTAGACTTCCCATTTAAGTGCTGACTGCCACAGAGGAAGGATCTCTTTCTGGAGATTGCTCCTCGTGGAGTTTACTGTGAGCCTATGACACTAGGGAGCATTTCCATTTATCTCTGCTTATCTTTTCCAACGTGATAATCTTACTATCCTAACTTCTCTGTATGCTTATTGATCATCCTTTACAATGCCTGCGTGCTTACAGATCTTACACAAACCTAGTGGATCTTAGAGGAAGTAACGTCTGCAGCTTATGAAGCTACAGTGGTGAACTGTCATATGATGGTGTTCCAAATGGACCAGAGGAGCAGGAAAGAACAGATTTTCCCTGTGCCCTCCTCCCAACACTGAACCCCTCCAAAGGGGGGCCTCTTGTGGTCAGATCACACTTGTGTAGCTGAAGCATCCTCTTAGCACATGCTTGGTGCTGTATTGTAGCCGGATCAGCGCTGTGCAGGTGTCACCCGAGTTGCTCCTCTCTGGCCTCATCCAGCCAAAACGTTTCTGGCAAGAAATTCACAACTGCAATGAAATAAAGACACTGAGCACATCTGTGATGCAATCACGTCAGCGTTTTAAAGCTAATTTGGATTAGAGCGAGGTGTGAAGTTATTCTAAAACACCCATTGCGCTTGCTGTTGGATCAGTCTTATTCTGGGATAGGAATGCTTGTTCCAATTTAGCTTAATCCTTTATCAAAGCCAACTAATCCCAACCAGGCTGAGGCACTCTTCTGGAACGTGCCGAAGTGTAGTTACTCAAAAGCAACCTGACGTGTAGAGAAGCCCATGGTCTGTTCACCTTCGCAGATACGGCTTTGCTGCTCTGTACAGAAGCTGGATGGGGTCACGTCTGTGTGTAGCTTATTTACGTCACTCAGGCCAGTTTGCAACTAGGAAGAGAATTACAATTTTAGTCTTGCAGTCACTTTTACCGAATGAATTTGGGCTGTTCTTGCAAGCGAGGGCACTGGATCTTTGCTCTGTGCTGCTGTTCTGGAGTCAGGGCGGTGTGAACCAGGCACAAACCGTGCTGTGAGCTGCCCTGCAGGATGGGGCTATGGGTCCCCGCAGGGCTCTGTGACCCTGTGCTGGCAATTCCTTAGCCTGAGACTTGGGGGCTGTGTAGGGAGTTATGAGCAGGGTGCTGGGAGCTCACCTGACTGAAGCACAGGCACTCTGGGGGTCGTTCAGAACAGCTCTGTACCATGCAAAAGACTTGGAGTATGAAAACATGGTGTTGCTGCGCTCTTGTTTTCGTGGCTGATGTGTTCAGGCCAGGGTGGGGAGGGAAAGGGCTCGGTGTTGAGGCTCTCCTTCACTGCTTGAGCTGTGGAAGAACAGGGCTTTATGCAGCAAAAAATTGGAAGCAATTTGGCTTGTGGGAGGTGTTGCAGCCCAGCAGCAGTGAGCAGTGGAAACAAGTAGCTGTGAAACACGATCCCTGCAGCTCAGCTCGGTGCGCTGACCGGGGGGTGAGGGGAGAATGCAGATGACGCATTTGATTTTTAAAAAAGTGGGTAGTGTTGACAGAAACCCTATCTTGATTAAGGGTGGTAGGAAAGCATTCGATTCCAGCCGTGTCTTGAGCTCAATTACGGTTGGTTTTGGCTCAGATCCTTCCGTTTGCCTTCTTTGGATCTTACCTTGACACCTTCAGTCGTGGGGGTGATGCCTCTGTGATGGCATTCTTCCCCTTACAATAGCTGTGCTGGGGCACTGCAGGCTTCTCAGTGCAGCTCCTTTGGAAGGTGTAAGCCTGTGGGTTAGAGTTAGCAGTGATACCTCCTAGGTGCTGCTTTATTTACTCTTAAGCTCCAGTTTCTGCAGCTTGTTGCCTAGGGGGAGCTGTGTGGGCTCTGCCTGGACCAATGGCTGACGCCTCAGAATTTGTGGGATGTGAATACTTTGGTTTGGAGTTGGTTGGACTCCAAAAAGCAAGGTTCAGGGGATTTCCTTTGGGAGTGTTTTATGACATATCCTCCAGGGCTTTGCCTTGTGGCTAAGTGAGGCATTACAAAATCATTCCTTTTTTTTAAAAGAAGGCCTTTGCAAAAAGGTTTTGTGGTTCCAATTTGCGGATTTGTTACTCAGTTGCTGCCTTTACTCCTGTTCCCTTGTATTTAATAACACTTGTTGACATAAGGACTCCTTCTGCTGTCATTGCTCTCCTAATTAACTGCAGGGACTGATCTTGACACTCTCCTACTGCTTGGTTTGTTTACAGCCTGGCCAGCCTCTCAGCGGAGTTCCATGGGACTTGCCAGCAACCCAGTTCTGACTTCTTCCTGCTTGTTGCTCTATGACAATGCTTTGCAGAACTCTTTTCTGTTTTGGAAATCAGTGTTCTCCACGCTGGAGCTTCTCTGTGTTATTGGCTCTTGTCTGTAGTGTTGCAGAGGGAGAAAGGCAGAGCTGTGCTGTGCTCTGGAATCCACCTGGTTGTCAGCCTTTTGCTCTGTGCATCAAATCTGGTAACTGTAAGAAGTCCCCTTTGCTGTGTGTGGAGAGGGAGGAAAGAGCAGATGGGTCACTGTGTGAAAAAGCTTTGTGCTTCACTTCCTTGTGGAAATACATTTCTAGCCCTGCCATGTACACAGAGAACTTCTGCAGTTTAGCCTTGATGTTTTCAAACCTGTGCTGCTTGTGAGCCCTCCTGCCCTAAGGCTGTGAATTGCAAGATGGGAAAACATACCAAAGATACCTTTGTCTCTAGTAAGAGTGCAGGAGTGGACACCTGTGCTGGGATCTGGTGTAACAGCTGACAATTCTTGTTGTCTGCAGGGTTGAGCAGTGCTGGTGGAGGCCTCCCAAGTGTGAAGATGGCTCGCTCAGGGTCTCGCTACTCCTTCGATGTCCCAAACCCCTGCATCAACTTTGCGACTTTAAGCGATGATGATGTGCACAATGCAGACTCCTGGTTTGGTAAGTTGTTTCCAACTCCTTGGTTTGTTTCCTCTTTGGATGAGGGCTTGCTGTGATGCTTGGTTGGCTTCTGTGCCAGTGGATGAGTTGTCATTGACTGCATCATTCATCAGTGGATTTCATCGTAGCATCATAATGGTATTCAGAGGTATTGTTATGAACTTCAAATATAGTGTATATAATGAAAGTCTTCCTTCCTGTTCTTCACAGACCAGCAAGCCAACCTGGAGAATATCCCTCCTGCGGAAAATCTGGCAAAGGTCTTGCAGAACAGTCCTGCTTTTTCAAAGCCTCCTCTCATTCTTTTTCCTCTCACATCACAAGGAATAACAAAGAGTAAGCTGGCACAGGGTGGGGAGGAGGGGATAAATTTTACCTGTTTTTCACGAGGGAAATGGAAAAGCCTCAGTTTGGCTATTTTGGAAGCATCTTCTTATATTGCTGTGTAACAAAGTCTCCTGTGGCTTCATTTTTGCACTCTACTGTGTGTGTGTGTGTGTGTGTGTGTGTGTGTGTGTGTGTGTAAGCTGATGTGTGTTGCTGTTCTCAGATGAAAGCTGTGAAGAGGATGGAGCAGAAGTATCAGAGAGCAATGTGGTTCCTCAGAGTACTGCTGGATCCCTGACAAGCTGGAAAGCTCCTGCTGAGGCCCCTCAAAGGTGAAATACTAGTATTTAGTTTGTGTGAAGCTTGATAGCAGTGTGATTAAGCAGGTCCTTACTCTCAGTGTTTGCAGTTCTAGCTGTTTTGGGGTTGTCCCGAGGGACTAATGCTCTCTAGCTCAAGGATTGTGTTTTGGGATAGCTGATCTGCTTGCTAAGCTGGAAGGGTAATCTCTAGGGGTGGCAATGCAATGCAGTGTCTCACATTTGTCAAATGAGACTCTGTGGCACTGGGAGCTTCTGGAATGCGAGGATATCTGAAACTGAGGTGACTTATAAAGTTTCTTTGTTTATGAGTTGGGCAGAACTTGTTGATGTGTATCAAGGGGTTCTGTACACTTGTATACACCATAGACTTATGTTTGTGGATTGACAACTGAAGTCATTTATGCTGCATTTGGCCCGTTAGATTAAGCACACAGCGTGTTGGAGTGGGGAAGGCACTGATGTGGTGCTGTACTGATGGCAAGTCTTTTTGGACCTGGTGGGAAAGCTGACCTCTGCTTTCTGTTCCACTGCAGAGCGGGCAGAAGACCAGCTGCAAAGCAAAGGAAAACACAGCAACGCAAACAGCCAGCTGCAGTGAGAGTGGAGAAAAATGATACTGCGTTGGCTAACAAGGAAGAGGCTCCACCCCTGAAAAAAATGAGAATGTATGTCATCAGAGCTTCTGTTTGGGGCTGAGAAAGAGGTTGAAAATACTTCCTTTCAAAAGGATTTCCACTTGGCTGGCAGGGTTCTTTGGTTCTCAGAGCTGTTCTGGAGGTTAGGGGCAGGAGACCAAAGCCTGGCTCCTGGATAGTGGTCCCATAGGTGAGGAGAAATGTCTGTAAGACGTGAATTCAGTGCTCTGATGGTGAAGGTGTGAATGAAATAAGCTTGGGAATCTGAAGCTTTTTATCACACACTCAGTGTCTGTCAGCTAGCTGGAATTTGGCTTCACTTGTCTGACAGGAGGTCAGCAATTAGTCGTAAGTGTTGGAGGAGTCACAGCTAAAATATTTATCAGGTTTGCTTAGCTGCTGAGATATTACTTATCCATAAGCTTAGGGCCAGGATGAAGTACAGCACGTTTACCTCCTCAGAAGGAAAAGCTGAAGTTGCAAAAACTCAGTAAATAATCTTCCCTTCTACAGCCGTAGGGTGCCAGGGAAAACTAAACGGTCTGTGCCTGGGCCCGTGGTGAGGTAAGGCCCATCTGGCATATCTTAACTCACTGGGTGTTGGGATGCTGTGTGGGATGGTGAGAGCTGCAGGTGATCTTTTGTTTAGAGCGTGGCGGTCAGTGATTTGCCCTAACAGCTCGTCGCTTCAGTTCTAGCAGCAAGGAGAAGCTGACAGATGGATCCCCAAAGAAGGAGCTTTTGCATCATCCTGACCTGTCCCCAGCAAGAGGGAAAAACAAACTGACCGTGCCCTCCACGCCAACAATGTTAAAGTAGGTCACTTGCTGTGGCTGAAGCTTGTCTTTGCTCATGACAGTTGATTGAGGTGACAGTCCTTGCTGTAGTGTTTCTAACTTCAATTCAGAGTGCCATGGCATTGCACCTGGTAAATAGGAGATCAAGGCAACAACATTACCATGAAATATACTTCACTGACTTTTCCTGTGCAAAGGAAAACTTTCCCTTTAATTTTGAGGGGGAAAAAAAGTTGCTCTGACCAAATGTGCGTGCCACAAATGGCTGTGTGGGGTGGCAGAGGAAACAAAATCCCAACAGGTATTTTCTAAATAATCTATTTGTAAGAAGAGTGGTGCTTCTGCAGTGAGCTCAGAGATGAGCGTGTTCCTGTCCACTAATATGCTGATAACCAGGGAAGGGAATATCTCAGTCTTTGTGCTTCTGCAGGAGGACCAATACTGCTGGCAAGCTGAAGAGTACAGAGGAGCAGGAGTTGGAAAAGATGCAGCAGCTGCAGCGGGAGGTCATGGAGCTGCGGAAGAAGAATGAGGAGTCCCTAAAGGCAGCTATTGCTGGAACAGGTGAGCTCCAGCTGAATTGCAAGCTGAGCCTGTGCTGGGCTCATGAGGAGAATGCTGCATGAAGCTGTGCAGGTATTTTTTGGAAAGCAAGCATTCCAGATTTTGTACTACGTGTTATGGTTTAGGTGGCTTTTATGTACGTTTCTCCTTAAACTTCCTGGAAACAAAGTTTTATTTTGTCGTGTTTTGAAAGATTCTAAATAAGTTATTTAAAAACTTCACCAGATATTAGGGAATGTTTTTTGGTTTTTTTTTTTTTCCCCTTCCCAAAAAAGTCTTTCTCTGATCCCGCCCCAAAAGGTTTCCAGTCCTTACATGCTCTTCTTCCCTAGGACAACCTGTGAAGAGAGCTGTTGGTCAAGTAACGAAGCCAGTTGACTTCCATTTCTGCACAGAGAATAGAATTAAGCAACATGTGGAAAGCCAGCCTGAGAAGGAGTACAAGGAAGTGGATTTTGCAGCAGTGCTGAGGAAGCATCCTCCTTCTCCAGTAAGAACCTGAGTATTGCCAGCACTCAGCTGAGTAATTCTGCACACTACTTTCCTTTGTTTTGCTTTTGCAACATGTGCTGCTGGTATCTCTCAGCTGGTAAATTCTTGAGAGGTGAGAGTTGTGTGTATGTAACTGTTGGCTTACTGTGTGCCTGCACTGCACAAGATGCTAAAGGATGCTTTTGCAAAGCTGGGTCCTTCAGTATTGGATCTATTAGCTGCTACATGTTATGCTTCAGTCTTCTCCCTTGTACAGTTTTTGGTATGGCTATCATGCGTGCTCAGAGATTTGTGTCACATTAAGTGTTGTCCCCTTTTTAAATAAGGGGAAGAAATTGCAGCTTCCTTCTCTCTCTGATTCACATTGTTCTGTTAAATGGCCATAATGACTGCAGTGTTGTTTCTTTCTCCAGATGCGAATGCCAAAGGGACCCACTGTCCCCAAACCTTTCAATCTGTCCACGGGAAGCAAAAGAAAGCTGGAAGACACCTCATCAGAGTACGTGTCCCTTGCTCAGCAGGTTGAAGCATTCCAGAAACGCACACCCTCTCGTTACCATCTGAGGAGCAGGAAATCTGATGAAGGTAAGCAAACCCATACAAGTACAGCCAGGAAACTGCACAGAGACTCTCTGCTTACTCTGCTGGGCAAGCAGTCTGTCTGTTGCAGGCCTTGCCATTAACTGCTCAGCTCTGTTACTTGAATTTTAGGCCCAGCTCCAACAAAGCCAGTGAAAGCTCGACTTACCAACCCTAAAACACCAGTGCTTCAAACAAAGCACCGCTTCAGACCTGTTGCCTGCAAGAGTGCAGCAGAACTAGAAGCAGAGGAAATTGAGAAAATTCAACAGTAAGTAAAGGCTGTTTCTGATCCTCTGAGAGAACTGCTTGTCACTGGAACAAAAGGCTGCATTTTAAGACCCCTTTTTTGTGTGTGTATGTGTGAAAGAACCATAAAAACACTTCAGCTTCTTGGTGTCACGCACAATCCTGTGGTAGTTAATGTAAGGATATAAAAGCAGCCAACTTATTTTGAAGAAGAGAGTCTTCAAAAAGAGGTGGTTGCTGAGTGCAGCTTATGATTAGTAAAGCCAATCTGATATAGCACCAATGTATAATCTGCATATAGCTTAAAACTCTCCTGTAAACTAAATTTTGGATTTCTAAGAATGCAATCCTTGAGGTGGTCCTTGAAGTCTTGCTTTTTCCAAAAGCCAAGGAGTTGCCAACTAGAGCTGCACACAAAGCAATGCATGTGTGTGGCACAACCCGAGTGCTGCTGACTTATGCCATGAGAAGCCATTTGCTAGGAGCTGCATGCAGTGTGTAGGTGACTGTTTATCATCCCTGTGTAGGTACAAATTCAAAGCACGGGAGCTGGATCACAAAATTTTGGAGGGTGGGCCAATCCTGCCCAAGAAACCCCCAGTGAAGGAACTCACACAGCCGATTGGCTTTGAGTTGGAAATAGAGAAAAGAATTCAGGACCGTGAGAATAAGAAACAGCAGGAAGAGGAGCACTTCAAATTTCATTCCAGGCCGTGTCCAACTAAAATCCTGGAGGACGTTGTGGTGAGTTTATAATACCCAAGAATTAGGACTGAGGTGACAACTAGCTTCAAAGTGTCCTCAGCTATGTTTCATTGTGTATTTATTTGTCTTCAGTAAAATGCTGTCTGTCACTGAGTAAGAACAAAGGACAGCAATGAATGCAATATCTAAGACTGCTTATCTGTGGCATTTTTTTGTTGATTGGAGTTGACTCCTTACTGTCTGTCTTGAACAGGGTGTTCCAGAGAAGAAAGTGCTTCCTGTTACTGTACCCAAGTCTCCAGTCTTTGCCTTGAAAAGCAGAACCCGAATGACTAGCAGAGATGAAGAGAAGGTAACTGTGGATGTGCTGTTGTAAAGCCTTCCTCTTCCACCGTGGTGACTGCCTCAGTCATCCTGTTGTGTTTGCTGGTTGGTGTGATGCTCTGGTTTGGCCAGCCCTTTCCTCCTGCTAGGCAGTCCCCCAGTGGGCACTGTTCTTTGCTAAAGATTGAATTACTGGCACTCATTTCACAGAAAGTGAATTCTCTTGGGGAAGAGCAGAATTTTTAGAACATAAGGACACTGCCTAGGCTGTTAGATGAGTTGCCTCTGCAAATGGGGAAAGTAAACTGCTTAGTTCCAGAGAATAAAGGATATTGGCTTTCTCTATTTGAGAAGGACAGATATTGCACTTCCCTTTCAGCTTAGTCGCTGTCTCACTCCGGTTACTGAAGGAGATGGTTCAAATTATATACACCCAGAGTTGGATTAAGAGCCAAATGAGGCATCAAATGTTGTCCAACCATGCCTGTATATTGGTGCTACTTGGTTTATTACTTTCTTGTGGTATCAAAAGTGTTTTCTTGAAGTTATTCTGACCCTTACTACAGGGATTCTAGACACTGGGGCCTGAGTTGTAACCTTGCTGCAGAGTGCTGTGCGTCAGATCCTAACACTGCTATCACTTTAGGAAAAGGAGGTTGCCCCTGTGATCAAAGCTCACCCTATGCCACACTACGGAGTGCCTTTCAAACCTAAAATGCCAGAACAGAGGCATGTGGAAGTTTGCCCCTTCTCTTTTGATTCCCGTGACAGAGAGCGGCTAATACAAAAAGAGAAAAAAATAGAAGAATTGCAGAAGGAAGAGGTAAGAGCTAGAAAGCACCCTGTATTCCACCTCATAAGTAGAAAGCTTGTTGCAGGACTTGCTTCTTGCTGTTGTCTGTTAAGCATCCCAAGCTTTATGCGTTTGCAGAAGGGGCAAGGAATACTTCAAGCTATTTCTTTTAGGTGCCGAAGTTCAAGGCGTTACCTCTGCCTTATTTTGACCACGTGAAGCTGCCAGAAAAGAAGGTCAAAACCCCAACTCAGCCTGAGCCATTCAATCTACAGATTGATGAGCGGGGAGCTGCCAAGCAACAGAGCTGGAAACAGCAGGTGAGATAACAAAGGTAACAGATAGGAGCAGACTGAAAGTAGCTGGGGTTGAGCTCAGCTTCAGCACTTGAGATCAGGGTGTAAGTTGAATGGATTGCTCTGTACTTGGCATGGGATTTTATCATGAGTAAGGGTCTGGTGATTTGGGTTTCTCTCACCCATTACAGTGGGTGATGGGCTTCCCATGACTGCATGAACAGCTGTGGGGTATCTGCTAAGCAGCAGCTATGTGCTGCTGAATCCCTTTGACCATCTCTGTGCTGAAGGATTTATTGATGTATGAATAATATATTGCTTTTCTCATGTCAAGTTTGCAGTGGAAACTTGAAGATTATCCTGGTCTGTGATCTGAAACTGTGAGCTTTTTTTTTTCCTCCCATAAGTAACTGGCAGGCAACAAGTGACACATCTTCTTGGCTTTAATAATGTTTTCTGTGCAAGTGATCCAATCTGAAGGCAGCCTGGCTTTTCCAGTGTCTGGAGTGCTGAATTCTGTGTGGGGGGGAAAGATGGTGTTTTTGTTATTCCTGGCACTTGATGGGTTCTCTTCTCATGCAGCTTGAAAAAGACTTGAAAAAGCAGAAGGAGGCAGCATGTTTTAAAGCTCGTCCCAACGTGGTGGTGTACCAGGAGCCTTTTGTGCCTAAAAAGGAAAATAAGATGTTATCAGGTACAGTACTTGCTACCTAGGCTTGGTTGTAACTCAGAACTGATGCAATTAAGTGATGCTTAGGCTGGCTGATGCCTCTTTCTTTATCAGTGCAGCCAGGGGTGCTGTGCACTTAACTAATTCCCTAACAGCTTGCCTCCCTGGGGAGTGTGGGGGAGTTTCCTCTCCGCTGCCCCCCTGGCCCAAGCCAACATGGCAGCTGTATTTAACAGCTATGCTACAATTGGCGGATGATTGATGTGTGTGCTAGCTTGGGACAAGGGTAAACAGTATGCAAGGAGCTCCCTGTAGAGACAGATGGCAATTCTGCAGCAGCTGTCAGTCTTTTCTTCCCATTTGTAATGAGATGAATGCATCTACAACTTAGTTTATGTGGAGCTAGAAACTTCATAGGGTACAGGAGTCAGAAACTTGTTTGTTCTAACCACTGTGTGCTTGCTCCCTCCTGTGAGAACACCTGTGGCATGGGCAGTGCCTGCATTAGTGCTACTCATGTTGAACTGTAAGCTTTTCCCTGGAACCGCAGAAGTGTCTACTAACTACCCTCACAAGATGAAGCTCTCCACAGGGAGGCTGCTTCTTGATATTAGTACTGCTCTGCTTTACCTGACTGCCTTTGCACCAATGTTATTCCCTCTATTTCTAAACTTAGAGAGCCTTTCTGGTTCTGTAGTTCCTGAAAGCTTTGAGCTGGCAACAGAAAAAAGAGCTAAAGAGCGACAGGAGTTTGAAAAGCGATTGGCAAACCTAGAAGCCAGAAGAGAGAAGCTTCAGGAACGAGTCAGACAGCAAGAAGAGGAACGTGAAAAGGAAGAAATTGCTAAGCTAAGACAAGAACTGGTAAGTGAACTCATTCTAAACAGGGACCCAAAGGAACGTGTGAGTGTACTAAATGAGCTAATATCAATGTTGAACTGCTCTAAGACTGTATTTCCAAGTCTCCCTGTCACAGCCTCCTTACTGATGTCCCAGCTTAAAAGTAAAAACTGAAAAGGTGGCTGTGAACTGATTTTGGAGCTGTACACGTGTGGAGTGCAATAATCCTAGTGAAACCCACAGCCTCGGTGTCTTGTGCTCCTCGTGCCTCACTCCAGTGACCAGGGCAGATCAGATGTCTGGCCTGCACGTTTCAGCTTCATCATAACCGCAGCCGTTTCTTCACGTTGACGTTGGTTTTCCAGGTTCACAAGGCAAACCCAATCCGCAGATACCGCAGTGTAGAAGTGAAGCCCAGTGAGCAGCCGCTGACTATGCCCAAATCTCCAAACTTCTCGGACAGATTCCGATGCTGACATGCATCCTTGTGATAGCAGGAGTACAGCACATCCTGCTCTGCCCCTTGACGTGCAGAGGAGGAGCAGTTGTTTGTGGATCCCCTCGGTCTCAACAGCCACACTTGGCTCCGTTATCGTTTGAGTGGTTTGACTCCGTTTGAGGCAGATGGCAGAGGCACAGCACACTGAGAGCCACGCAGTCTCCATGGCCTCATTTTTACATCTAGACATCTTAGTCTCCCAAGACTAAACCAGGTTTTTATATTGCATACAAGCATTGTGTACTTAAACTAAATAAAAAAAGTCATAATTTGACTGCTGTCTCTTGCTAGCAGGCTCAGTCTCGTTCCAAGAGAGCTTTTCTTAAAGGACACTCTGAACCTGCGGGGCTGTGCGCACCTGGAAGAGCTGCCTTGCCTTTGTACACCTAAGTATTGATTTCAGTTTGCTGTCTCTTAGGCTTTTACAATATATTAAGTTTGAGTCATGTTGAATAATATGAGACTTCCACAAGCCAGCCTGTCGGAGGTCTGTCATGATGTTTAGATGAACGCTGATATTTGTCTTGTCTTGCTTTAAAGTAGTTCTGTGTGTGGTAGAGCATTAAACCTTCTGCTGTTTTATAACTGAAGTCATTCTATTTGGGGAACCAGTTAACTGGCAAATGACTCTTGCTGTTTTGCTGCCTCCCTGGCTTGTGCCAGCACAGCTATGTTGGCTAAAGATGCATTGTCTCCTGGCCAGTCTAGCACAGCCAAACTAAATATAGACCAAATGGTCTGAGGTGCTAGAGGACAAAAATTGCAGCGTTGTGAAGAGATGTTCAAATCCAGATTAAAGCTCACTCAGATGATCCCTTAGCATCATGATAGAATTTGGAGGTGTATAAAGCTGCAGGCTTTTCTCTGAAGAACTGATAGGGGCAGGACGTCCTACGAGAGCTCAACTGAAAGCTGGGTGTTTGCTGTACCTGGAGGTTCTGGCTTGGCTGTGGGTGTGTGTTCTCTTAAGTACTGTGCAGTTAGAAAGTGACTGAGGGCCTCGAGATCTGTGTGTGGGTGAATGGTGCTGCCCCGTGGTCTGCAGAATGCAAGAGCAGCGTGTGATGTGCTCTTCATCACTTCTTCCTGAAAATGCTCAGGTCTGCACGGCTCTCCCTGACCAAAGCTGTGCAGCCTTTTCTCAGTGTGCCATAAGCTTAGCACTGGTGCAGTGGAGCTGTTCCATCTGAGCTGCCAGACACAGAAACTGGGACTTTGAATGTGCCACCAAGAAACTCCTCCAGCCCCCAGTGCCAGTTCCTGTGAAGCAGGCAGCGCGTGGGCTGCTGGAGCTGTGAATTCGTGGCGAGGCAGAGGGAAACCTGAATGCTGACGAGCTGTGGAAGAATGTGAAGGCAAGCAGGATAACGAGGCTGCTGAGCTGCAGCAGACAGCGATCCCTGAATGATGGAGCAACTGTGTTTCCGTGATGGCCTTACATGGCTTCTGCTTTGGACTTGAGAAAGGGGTCGTATGCCCGACAGCTTGCCGTTTTTTTCCAACTATATCACAGAGGCTAATAAAAGATATTACCTCTTCCTGCAGATATGGCCTCTTATATTCCCCATAAACTGCAAACTTGGTGAAAGAGGGCCTGGAGCTGCCGTGCTGCATGGGGCAGCAGGCAGTGCTGCTGAATGGGGTACAGAATCTTAAGCTGCTCTCTTAATTAGGAGGAAAACATCCATGTGCTGAAAAGCAATAAAAGCTGGGTGTTGGGGGGGAGCTGCACGCCAGGGAGGAAGAGGCAGAACCACAACTCAAAGTTCATCAGCTTTGAACATGCTTGGAGGGTGAGTGGGACTGGGAGCAGGAATAATGATGGAGAACTGGAGCGGGGAGAAATTCTAGCATCAAATCTCCAGCGTTGTTTTTCTAAGTCCTGTTGTTTCTGTGGAGTGACTTGCTGTACTCCCACTAGAGCTGGAACGAAAGGCAATGTTTTCCTGGGCTTTATGTTGAAGGGTAGCTGAGAACAGGAGGATTTTATCAGCTGGCAAAGAGGATCCTGACTAAAATGGCTTTGTTACGCCGTCAGACCCCTGGCCTCGGTTCTGTCTGCCTGCTCTCAGCTGCTGGAAGCTCTGCAAAGCATCTCTTGATGGCGTTGGGATTTCTCCCTGTCCTCACCTCCATCAGACCCGATGTGGTAGGACTGTGGCTGGCCCTCAGCACACATAGAGGCAGTGAAGCTGTTGACCACAGGTCTGGGTTTGTCCCTGTGGGGACAGGCAGGCTGGCTTGTGTTACCGTGCTTCAGCCAGTGCTCAGGTGGGCTCTGCTCGTGGCCCCGCTGCTCGATTTAGCCGAGGTGTTGGGTTTCCTGGATGGGGCTTGGCTGTGCAAAGAACCTTCCTCACCCATGGAAAGCATAAAGGTTAAAGTACGCTGCCGGAGTTGTGACAACCGCGTCGCTTGGGAACGGTGTGCTTGGTGCTGTGCCAGCCCTCCCTGCGACAGCCTGCGTTCCAGTTGCAGCCAATGTAGACCATGGCTTGAGTACTTGAATGGGGAGGCAAAAAAAAAACCCTACAGCCTGAGAACCACCAGTGGTGGTTGGTTTGTCTTCTACGATCCGCAGAGATTGGAGCTCCGTGCCCCAAAACCCAGAGTGCAGCAGCTGTGCCCTTCCTGCAGCACTCTGAATCTTCCTTGTGAGGCAGCCATCTTCATCCAGCTTGCTTCCCGTTCCCTGCAAAATGTGGTCTTGTAGGAGCACCAAAACAAGCCACAGCATGCTCTTCCTTCACACCTCTTTAAGACAGCCACGTTTGTGCTGAGAGCACAAGAGCTTTGCTCCTCACCTTCTGAAATTTCCTCCCGTACTCCAGCAGCTTCTTAAATGAGATTAAGATTGGATGAACCAGGACTCTCGCTGAGCTCCGGCTGCTGCTCCTGGCCTGCGGAGTTGGGATGCAGCTCTCTTCCTTTGCCCTCAGTCACTTCCCAAGCGTGCCGTGCAGAGGTGGCACCCGCTGTGAGCCCGTGGCTGCAGGGAGGTGCCTCCAGGCGCCTGGCACCAATGCATGGAGGCCAGGCCATCGGCTGGCAATGACAGAGCTGTCCCTGTGCAGTCCCTGAGAGCCGTGGATACCAGCGCTGCCCGAAGCCCCACATGCCCACGCTGCCCCAGCACGGCCGTCACGCGTTTATGGGGTGGCGGAAGCGCCGTATCCGCTCCTGTGTGACCCTGTTGGTGCCCTGCCGAATACCAGACGCTGCCTTTGATCTCTGGAGGAGGGGAGCTGAGCCGTGGGAGCGCAACCCGGCTGCCTGCAGCCATGAACCTGCACTGCCAGGGCTGCAGTGAGGCTGCATCCTTCAGAGCGATTGTTGCTGCTCGCGTTGTGGTTGTGGTGGGAGATGCCTGAGGTTCTGGCATCGTGCAGAGCTATCAGAAGCAGCTCCCAGCCCCACGCTGTGCTTTCTTTTTTGCTTAAGCCTCACCCTGAACCCCAGCCCTGGGGACGAGCAGCGAAGGAGAAGGAAAAACTGCTTCTTTCCCAGTCTCTTCCATTTGGAGCGGGCAGCAGGGTGCTGGGGATATTTTCACTGCTCCTCTCTGCTGCAGAAGCAAATGTGATCACAGCCCTTCCTGCCCCAGGCCTTTGGGCTTCCTCCAGCGGTGGCCATATCCTCACCTGGCATCCTGCTCTTCATGCCCTGCACAGACCATGGCTGACCCTGGCCACAGTCCTGCAAGCTCACTAGGAGCATCTCACGTGTGCTAAGGATGAGGAAAGGCTCATGGGCAGCCATTGCCCAGCATTAACATCTGCTCACACTGTGAGCATTGCATCCCCCTGGCACAGGAAGTGCTGGCCCCACTGTGGGGCTCTGCTTCGATATTCAGCAGTGGGATGTGAGGCCACTGGCAGCCATGCACCTGAAAAGGTTGTGCTTCACCCTGCACTTTCCACTGAGATTGATTAAGAAAGAGCATGGCCCGGGTCTTTTATAGGCTTATCCTGGAGCTTTTCCCACCCAGGTTGGTTTTAGAGCTCCTTTTGCCAGCAGGGTTTGTGCTGAGAGCAGAAACTGCTGTGTGACAGAGCTCTCTTCCCTCTCGATGCCCACAGGAGGGAGAGCACAGCAGTGCTGGTGCCACGGGTGGTCCTGAAGCCCCTTCCCACCTCTTTGTGCGCACTGTGCCAGGGCAAACCCGCAGCTCCCGGGGCTTCTCTGCCGGAGGGGATCCCCAGGACCAGCACTGGGCCACCCCCTACCCACACTGCATGCAGTGCTCGAGCAGCAGCAGCAGTGGTGCTCCTGGGGACGGCGCAGGGCAGCAGGAGCGGGGTCAGGAGCGAATCCTTGGCCCCGTGTGCCTTGGGGCGGCTCCCTCCCGTGCTCCCTTTACTTTATGGTGCGTCACCAAGCCAAGAGCTCTGCTGTCCCCTCTCAAAGGAGCAATGCAGGCAAAAGGCTGAGCCCTTCCTCCTCAGGGCGCTGGTGCTCCGGCTGCCACCGCGTGATAAATCAGTGCTCTCGGCTTTAGGAGCTGTTATAATTGGAGCGCCCTCATCCAGCGGGGAGGGCCGGGTCCGGTTACCGGGGGTTCCTCCTGAAAGCCTCAACTGACCGCCTCCGCCCCCTGCAGAAACCCGAGCGACGGGGGATGTCTGTGCCCTTGTGAGCAGCGCTTTCCTCACCTTAGGTTTCAGAGATTTAAAGTAAGCAAGGCTCTGCTGGGAGCAGGGAGTTGGCACAGCCCTGGGGACTCGATCAGCCCCAAAGCCCTGCTGTGCACCGTGGGCTCGTGGTGCACCCAGCAGCAGTCCTGGTGTCTTTGTTTCTGTCCCTGATCCCCAGACGTGCACTCTGAACTCGGTGCCTTCTGACTGCTTCCAAACACCAGGGATATGGGCTGCTGCTTCAGTTCCCAGTGAATATCCCTTTCTTTCTTGGTCCCCAGCAGCAATGCCCAGAGCTGGCTGTGCCCGTCGCACCCCATGGCATCGCTCCAAAGCCACTGTCCTCGAGAGTTGGCACCAATGGGCAAAGCCACCGGCAGCTCCGCGGCACCTTTATGGATGGCTCTCAAGTGCCATCTCCATGCAGTGACCGCCCCGTGTTCCCTGTGGGCGCCTTGGAAGCTCTCGGTCCTTTGGGCAGCATCCAGCACGCCCTGGCCAAGGGCTGTCCCCAGCGGCGAGGCACGGCGCAGTCCCCGCACGGGGCCACCTCCAGCCCTCCCTCTCTCTCTGGTGGCCGTGTGCCGGCTCCCGCTCGCTGTTTGTGTGCGTTCTGGCCGTTGGGAGCACATGGAAGAGT